CTCCGAAGAACACGAATCGTCCGATTCATGAGATCGTTTTTTAAGTGGGGGTGCCATGATTGTATGTAATAGGATTCACCCTCCTAGCTCCCCACCCACCACGGAGTGTCAACAAGGACGATGCCTCGTGTCTGTGGGTCTCCTGCAGACGGCACCAAGGATACTAGGAGGGTATACTCAAGCAGAAAGTATCTTTAAAAGATAAATCCTACCAGATTGGCCCATGAGCCACCGCCTTCTGGGCATAAGACTCTAGGCAAAGTAGTTAAGTCATATGTCGAAATAAAGTAATGTATTATAGACAAAAAGGGCCGAGACCTAAAGTGAATAATTACAGTTCAAAATGGAATTTGTGCAAATACAAAGAATGCACAGGGCTCGACATGACCAGCCGATTGGTTGAACCGGGCCAATTCAACCACCCGTCTAGGTGAAGTAAGGGTCGAAGTGGTGTATTGGGCAAAGGAACACTGTTCCTGGAGCCCTTGCCCTCAACCACCAGAATCCCGTCCTCCACCGACACAGGGGCGCAACCCACGGCAAACAGGTTGGTGGACCTAATATCCCCTCGGGTCCACAACGGGGGGTTGAAGGGCGCTTAGCGTGACCCAGCACCCACCACGAGGAGGTGGCCCTTCACGGGTGCCAATAAAACAAGACATTGAGTTTTGTCTGTGACAACGACATATCTATATCACAATTAGAAATTCTGTCAACGCTAAATAATGACATTGCTTGTAAGTATCGAACTGAGAAAGTGTCTCGGTAAGAAGAACGTGTGGTGAAATAGACAAATGAAATTATATAAACAGTTAATTTACTGTCATAACATATAAAAAGCTCGCGCCTGTGAGATATCAACAAAACATTAGAAACATAGCTCACACCAAAGCCTTCATCGAGTATTCACCCGACAACCCGCTTCCAAGCTGCGCGAACCTATTTACTTGCGCGCGTGCTATGAGCGCAGCCCAGCTGTTGAAACCCGTTTTCCCCAGAAAAGTCTGGGGAAAATTAGTGAAACGTTTGAACTCCGATTTCGCGCGTGTATTTTCATCGTGGTATTTTTCAACTTTAACTGTTGAATTTGCATTTTTGACGATTTGTTTTGGTATGTCCATACCGAAAGGTATCAGAATCTGCAAAGTTGTGTTTTACGTTGCATGTGACCTTTAACATGCAACATATGTTTTTATCGAAAGTGTCAAACATGAAATATACAAAATGTCATTTGGACAATGAAATCTTGGGCTACATGTTTGTACAGGCTATTTGCATAGCTGGCTTTGGAGGGTTGTTCGAATGAATAGCTCCCTGTCTCATTTTACACGGACGGTCAATTGTTATCAGTGGTAGACGGTATTTGGTGTAGTAACGCAGTAAGGAAGGCGTTATCTTACATCAGAGCTCAATTCATGTCGCAACGCAACGCCTGAATGCGCTTCTTTTCTCATACACACCAATCGCTAGGTCAAGGTACATTTGATATTTTGAAGCTATTGTTCAAATGTGCAAACGCACTTGTAAATGTTGTGTTGTTCCAAATATAAACTGGCTTGGCTGTCATGTGATATACCGTTCATTTGGTTGCTTTAACTTTGAATACAAAACAACTTTACCCTTTTAATATATTTATTTGTACACGACCCATTTTGTTATAATAGAAATGTCTTGCTTGCGTCCCAAGTTCGAAATTGTCCAAATCCCCATGTTCTCGGTACCATTGATGTAGGTACATTTTGATTTGTTAGTGCAGATGTGGGGAGAGTGCAGTGTTTGGGTCTCCATGTCCTCAGAATAGTTCTTGGTGGGGACGAGGCAGCGCTGCCTAAAGTACTCATGGAAATAGAAATACAATGGTTTGGGGCACTTATTTCTTTTATTACTTCATTAAGATAGGTAGTTTTAACAAATATTATAACAAAATAACTATGTTTTTCCCAACTAGGCTTGTTTTATACTGGTCCTCTAATCATCATTCAAAATACCATTTCCTCCTTGGCAACTGGTGAGGCCTGAAGTTGACCTAACTCTGACAAAGTTTAAGAAATCTGAAACTAATGAATTACAGTATAAACAAGAATATAATCAATTAAAAAATAAATATAATACATACAAATCCTTATTTACAGATCCCGAACAATATCTTCTAGACTACCAAATAACAGCTCTATTTTCACAGCAGAAGCTTACGCCATATTAACAGCTCTTAAATATATTAATAAACACCGTAAATATAAACAATATATAATCTTTTCTGATTCTCTTTCGTGTTTTCAGACTATTAAAAATCTGACTTGTAAACGTCCTCTTTTAATAGAAATCATTGAATTGTATAATGAACTTGCTACTGGCCAATGCAACATCGTCTTTTGTTGGTTACCAAGCCACGTTGGCATTTCTGGGAACACAATGGCCGATCTTGCTGCTGAGGCAGCACTCAACAAATCTTTGACACCACTTCTGATCCCATACTCTGATTGCAAAGGTAGCATTAGAACTTACATCCGGGATCTGATGCAGAAGAAGTGGGACACCCAAGTAGGTATCAATAAATTACATGAAATAAAACCAACTATCGGTTACACCTACTTGGGTTGTCAGTCCAGATTGGAAGAGGTCATCATGCGACGATGTCGTATTGGCCACACAAGATATACTCATGAGTACCCATTGAAAGGTGAGGATCCTCCGTTTCGTATCCCTTGTGATGAAAGAATCACGGTCAAGCATGTCCTGCTTGACTGTGTTGAATATTCCATCACAAGGGATATCTATTTCAAATCACGAACTATGAAGGATCTTTTCAATAATATAAGCTCTCATTTAATTATTGCATTTTTGAAAAGAATTAGATTTGTTAAATTATTTGTAAACAGATACATATTTTATTATTGGTAGTTTAGATTAGTAACTGAGATTGTTAGTGGCTGTACCCTCAAAGGGGGTTGAAGTAGCGTAAAATTATTGACGTCCTGAGAGGGTACGTAAGTCCCGAAACATTCAAAGGAAATTTTAATGTATTATTTGTTTTATTTTTAAATTTCGGCTTAATCTTCATATCATCGCCAGCGACAGAAAGGGATGATATAAATCCAGCTAGGGTCAATGCAGGTAGCAAAAGTAATGTAAGTCCCCATGGTCCCTAGTTTGGTGATCTACCTTCAGTTGTTGGCGATTTTTTTCCAGTTTTTATACTGTATTGTCTAAATAGTGCTATTAGTTTTAGCTTTCCACACTAGTTTTAGTTGTAATTGTGATATTCTAGTTGTTTTACTGTCCTTTGAAGACAGGTTTTTCTAATATACACATATTACATTTCAATGACAAATATGTACTCGTCTCGATATGGCTGAACTATTGCCGATGTGACGTTAAATAATAACTCACTCACTCACTCAGATACCATTTATTTAAAAGTAACACAATATTGCGTGTTATCAACAAATTTGGAAACATGTTATAACTTACGTCACAATCAACAATGGGTGGTAACAACTAGCACTGCTTAGACGGGAAGATGCATTTGCATGTGCGTTGCCATAGCGATTGTGCATTTGACAATCAAAGCTATGAATGAACTCGTAAAAATAGTTTAACTTTTAACAAGAGTACAGTACATTATTTACTGACAACATCCCTAAATCACTTATTTTGTGTATAATAAAAGTAAAAGGTGGATGGTATATAATGTCTTCCGTTAACTATATTATGTACGGAGAGTACATCTCATTTGCATACTATAGCTTGCATCAGAAATGTACATTTTGTCTTCAATGAAATTTCAAGTGGTCAAAATGACACGATTTGCTCTCCTGCAAACTAACTATTCACGGTGGCTGTGTTTCTATTTGCATATTTATAGTGTCTATTTGAGTGAGTGAGTTAGTTAATATTTAACGTCACATGTGTCCATTTGAAATTAAACAGGTGTTTCAGAGGTAAAGCCAACAAGGCGAACAGCAGATATACATGTACAGACAAAAAAAAGGAGAAGAAGTTAATTTAAAACTTCATGTATCTTACTTTCCATTAATTAGTACTCAAAGTATATTTTTTACTCAAGCTGCTTTACGCCCACCTGGCATTGAATGACCTAGACCTTCAGTGTCATCCAATAACATGCCAGAACATGACTTTTTCAAAATTATTTGGTTTTACAAATACGAAGTCGTGAGATCACTCTCCTTGCATTCTTAAAGTTCAGGGGATTATGACCTTGACACTTACTATGTCTGAGTTTTCTTTAATTTGATCCTTGATAAACTTGGCTCGTTACAGATGTTAACCCAAACGTTCATATACCTGTGAGATCCATGTCTATTAAGCCTCAGAAATACTCACTTTACTGCGTGGATGAAGAACGTACAACGCCTTTAAGAAAGTGGTAAAAAATAACATACATTCTCTTTGGGATTACACTTTCTAAGTAGTACATATTCCAGTACCTGTTTGGTTTGAGACCCATCCGCACTCTGAGAGTGGTTCGAATTCCAAGTGGGACCCGACCTAAAATAGTACTAGAATCTGTCCTTCCCTAGAAAAAGAGTAATCCCAAATATGAGCTACGTGCACGTGAATAAGATGTATATGGAATTATGCTTGCGTATGTATTTTACTGCCAAACGACTTCGCATTTTCGTAAGTGACTTCAGTTTGATACCTCTCCGAGCTGGTAAGAATTGTGCCCGCTTATACAAATGGGAGAGTAGTCCTGTCAGCCTGCCTAATGCAGATAGCTTCCCCACTGACTGTCCTTTTTCTCAAAAGCTTCGTGGTGAGACTGACTGTAGGTAGCTAAGGCGTCTTTGGAGGACTTGAATTCACATGCAGGATTGCATGCAGTGACGACATGATCCCAAACCCTCAAACCCCTGTCCCATCCAGTCCAGCACCCACACCCATACATGCACCCTACTGAACTTTGTAATATATTCGTTTGTATAAATAACTCAATACATCAATCCATCCATTTGTTTTGTTTCGTTCATGTATTTCAGACCGTGCTTATTTTCAAGATTTGGTGTAATCGACTGGTGGTTGTAAGGAAAACATACCAAGGTTTATCTGCACTATGATGCTGATGACATGTCATCACTGGGTACAGAAACAGTTGATTACACGGGTATTTATATTCATTCCGATTACAATATAGGTTTTGGATATTTAACATTTCTGATAAATTTGGATTAAGAGGATTCCAAATTAACTTTAAACACGTTATGCTACGCATAAGTGTATGACGTAATCGGCGGATTAACATATTTAGATAATAGTTTCACGAGTTTGTTACACATGTTAAACTTTTCAAAACTGAAAAGGTCAACGTCAGTAATTCTCTACGTGCCACATATTCTCCTGAAAAATAAAAATAAGTGTGTCAGTGAATGTGATTTGTTCAATGCCTGCTGGGAAAATGGCATGGAAGTCATGATGTCTGAACAAGGAACATACCACACGTTTTTTTTTTCATAACATGTTGTATTTGCATCTCCTGTTTTAAATAAGTCCGACCGTTCCAACTATTCCAACACCACACTTATCTTTACAGAGGCCTGCAGAAAATGCCCGGCAGTAGCAACATCATACAAGTCTCACTCGAATTGCCCTAACATTATTCTTCTTCACACAACCCGGTCTGTCATCTGTGCTGGAAAGAAATCTGGGGGGCAACTGTTAGAAAAGAAAAAGAAAACTCTTCACAGACTCGGGAAGGTAGCCTCAGCTTGGAGGAACAGCGGAGGAGGCCAAGTTCTGATTCATGTAGAGGGTCAACTGTCCGAGGACAGGTGTCTGGAACAGTTTGACGAGTTCATTACCAAGAGTCTGTCTGATCTCATTGATGACGGAGAACTATATGTAGACACATACAGGCGCCAATGGCTATCTGATATACAGAGGTTTCAAAACCATACTGACTTCGTTTTTGTGAACGTGAAGGCAACCCGTGGGATAGCCACTGTGGATTTTAACACAAAAGTGAGGAACGACACTGGAAATATATCAATAACGTCTGTTAATTTGGCCCAATGCATATTAAACAGGCGGGAAAACACCGATCTCCCAAAGACGAAAAGATTGTGTGAAAATATTCAACTACTCCATGAGTGCCGGAACACTGAAAATAAAGGATTACATCTTAGCAAATTGGAGAGACCAATAGCAACGAAAATTTCGAGAAGCCTGTCAGATTTTGTGGAATATATATGGCATGATCTCAAACTTAAATATAACCTGACCTCTATGTCCAAGATTGAGGGAGGTGGATCATACTATGTTGGGATAAGTGAAGAGACCCTGCACATTGAAAGTTACAGAACCAAATTTCTTAACATTGACGGGTTTTCCATGAGATTTAAAGAAAATGAGATCATCAAAGCCATTGATGCTAAACTTCAAAGTGACACAATTGCCTTACATGGAAACAACTTCTGTAATGCCCCTGACGATTTGATTGAAGTGCGGTTACATCCTATTCCTGGAACAGAGAGTCGTGTTCTGGAGGTAGCTGTGCGATGCTTTGATGGTATCATCTTCAGTGATAAGGACGGGCCAAGGACTTATGAAGTAAAGAACAATAACATTCATCGGATGGACAAAGTAACCTGGTTAAAGCGATTCATGGCAGCCCAGATAAGAGTTTGATAGACATTCAACATGGCAGAGGAGTTAGAATTTGGTGGAAGAACGAGTGTTAGTGGCGACGGTGGAAGAACGAGTGATAGTGGCGAGAGTGATGACTCCAGTGTGCCCAGCAGGTACAGCTCAGAAGGAGACGTTCCATTACTGACTGATGCCGTCTTCTCTGATTCGGATGATCCAGTAACAGGAGTACAGACTTCCGGTAAGGCTTTACTGAAAGTCTACTGTTCTACCCACGCACACACTACATCTGGATACACCCTGAATATAAATCATTTGCTTTGCTTGTTGTAGGCCTCCAGTGCAGCACTCTTTCTATATCAGAACAAGAACAAGGGGAGATTGTCGGGATACTATCAGCTGCATCGGAACAGTCCTGTATGTAGAAGTTGTTGCCAATGTGAGGGGAGGGGGGGGGGAGTTGTTTTACAATTAATAATGTTTGCCTCTTTTCTTCATGATTTACTCTCCATAAACATTTTATAATGTGGCGTGTGAGTGTTCATGCGTGCATGGGTGTGCCCGAATCTGACAACCTTACCTATTTCAAAGCATGTAAAGTTTGTGTCTCACATATTCTGCATGAAGACTCCATTTATCTTAACCGATATATGCCATGCCCATTTTACTTAATACAAAGCCCAAAGGATGAGCATCTGATTTAGCTACAATTTATTCGAATATATGTTTCTGACAATGTCTGATAAAGTGTAAGACACAAATGAGTGTTGATATTTACGTATGTATTCATTTTGTTACACAGGCCTTGTAATAATGTCTTTCTTACTATGTGTGGTTATCTCGATATAATATTTTTATGAGGTGGCTGTTGCAGACTTCGGCATTTTCCCGCCCTTTATTGAAAAAGCTCTCACAGAACAGCATCCCCACATTGTACAGAGTCTGAAAGAGCTTCCAGACAGACATCGTATAGTCGTCATCTCAGGAAACAGCTTACTGAAGATGATGGACCCGACCTGGGAGGGACGCGTACCTGCGTCTGTCCTGTGTGATGCGTGTGTGTTCTCCCCGACACGCCCTGTCATGGTGCTGACTTTCACAACTGAGGATGAAGACAACCACAAGAACATTCAATACAACACCAGGCTTGCGACGTTGATCATACAACATGTGAAGGAGGATACGAAGTTTGATTTCAATGTCATACATGATACTGTCGATGCATCTTTGTGTAAGGAGAAACAAGATTTCCTGACAAAGATCGAGCAATGTGCAAATTCAGCCAAATGCATCTGTTTCCCCACCGAACTACATATGGACGAAGACAAATGTAGAACCGTCATAAAGACCTTCCTGAAATACCTGTGTCGTGGCAGATTTTCACCATCTACGGAGGATAACGTACATGTGAAGACCATTTCCGAACAGGATGTATGTATAAATTTGTATTTATATTTTAAGACACCTTAATAAAGGCATTGTTTGAAATCAGAAATGAAAAAAAACAATAGTTCGTTATCATCCTTTGTTATCTTCAACTTTAAACAAGGCCTGGTGGAATATATATGCTTCCAATTGATATTAGCATGTCAGTGAGATGAAATGTGTATGTGTACTGACAGTTATAGGTTTCGATGATCTCTACATGTTGCACGAGTGCAGTGTACCTTACCCGACGCTAGATGATGTTTTAGGTTCCATATATAACTTAACCCCAAAAGACAGTATTGGAACAGAGAGACATTTGAAACAAATTGAAGTCCGTCCCCATGTACACTTGAACTATCTACCTTGGCCAGTGCAACCACATTTTTCTACAAGCTAGGAGCGTATGGGAACTTACCCTTGTATTGTTTTTTGGGTTTTTTTCCTTATCCTTTGATGTTTGTTTCAATTTTACCCTTTTCCCTGCCAAGACAAGATAGCAACTTTGTATATAGTTTTAGAACTATAACTCAATCAGTCGTGATTGGACAAGTGGCTCATATTTTAGGCAAAATATGTGTCTTGGTATCCTTGGTAGCATGTAGACAGTGAGTTTGTGTTTGGGTGAGCGGTTCCTGATATTGAGGAAACATGTAAATAGTGACCCTTATGCCAATATGCCCATGCATAGATTTCCTTTGTTACAGATTGTGTTCTGGGGGGGATGTCTTTTGTTCAAAAGACCAATGTGCAAAAAAGACTCTAATCTACAGTGTTTCCCTTGCTGTCCCCCTTAAACACATTACAACCGTCGCCCTCTTTTAGCTGATTTAGAACAGAATTTTACATGTTACAAAAACGTGCGGACAAAGCATGAGAAACAACTTATTCATTGAAAGAAGATGGCTGGTATGACCAACACTCCCGTTGGTGGCCTCACGTCGAATTCGACCCCATTACCTCCGGTTTCTGCCCCTCAGGTGGGCCTTGAATGAAGAACCCATCTGACATTCATACTGCTCTTCTGGGATCATCTCCTCCAAAGTTAACTTATTGATTTCGCATAATCTAGTGCAGGTCTCACAAGTGCTTGATGCCAGGACCTATCACCTGTAATTTTGGTTTGTTTGTTGTTTAACGCTGCATTCAGCAATATTCCAGCGGCGGTGTGTAAATAATCGAGGTTGGGCCAAACATCCAGTCTTGGCTCCATCAGCGTTGTGTGGAAGATGGCTGTGCTCAATCAGTCGTCATGGTGTGCCTCATCTGGCAGATAAATGTTCCCTGTATGGGATCTCCACTCTGTAATCATCATGGCTTCTTTCATCTACAGTCTCTAAAAGAAAGTCCCATGTGGTTATGCGTCCTAGCCGTAATAGACGAGACCCTTCCTTTAAACAGCAAGACTAGCAACACTTGTTACGCAAGACAAACCACCAAGGATGCCCAGAAAGTTCCACGGGCGCGGTCAGCAGTCCTTTTCAGATGCTCTCCATCAGCAACAACCTGCAGGATTCCTACTTTCACGTAGCTTCACATGCTGCTCATTCATTTTTCAGGGTCAGCAGTTCCAGTTAAACGTGTGCCGGTTGGAATTTCATTGGCCCCTTAGCTACCTCGATGACTCAGTTCTCTCACTAGGGAAATAGCCTCCTCCTAGACAGCGTGTGTGGTCTTTGGATTACGGAAGACAGGAATGGCACACAAACAACATGAAACTGGAAGCATTTATCAGAGCCATTTGCCGTTGGCAGACACTCCAGCAGAACAGCAAACTGCTAATTGCTTCGGACAACTCCACAGGGGTGCTTTACATCATCCAGCAGGGTTCAAGCAGGCAGTCAACGTCTTTGTTCAACCAGACCTTTCATCTCTTTTATCTCACAAACGGGTTCTGAGCTTGTCACTTCCCAGGCTGTTGCAACATGCTGACAGGCTCCACATCTCACCCAGATTGTCCTCCGCCCACTGAATAGATGTTCCATCTCAAGGCATTTCAGCTCTTTTTCAACTGGCTGGAGACAATCAGTTTATTATTTCATCACATAAATCCTGTTTTTGCTGTGCCAGTCTTGTTCTACTATTGCGACTTACCTTCCTGCTCTTCATAATGGTTTAAAGATTGCCTGAGGTGCACGTTTTGGCTCAATATTGTAAATTTACCACCATTAGCGATAGTTTTCGACTAAACATTTCCACCCTACAGCTTGGGGCCTAAATATCATTGTGTATTGCTTACGCCAAACGCCTGATTAATCATTTGCATCTTATGATGACCTCACGAACAAGACTTACTCTCAACTGTGTCTCTACATGGCAACTAGGGTAAATTCGATTCTGTGGATGTTACCACGGGTCCGTTTCAGCCAGTGCCCACATGCACATGTTCATCGTTGCCTCTCAAGGGAGTTTATTACCAAAATCCAACTCCCAGGCCACCTCAATTGCCAGTACCAAATCCAACTCCCAGGCCACCTCAATTGCCAGTACCAAATCCAACTCCCAGGCCACCCTATTGCCAGTACCAAATCCAACTACCAGGCCACCCCAATTGCCAGTACCAAATCCAACTACCAGGCCACCCCAATTGCCAGTACCAAATCCAACTTCCAGGCCACTCCAATTGCCAGTACCAAATACAACTCCCAGGCCACTCCAATTGCCAGTACCAAAACCAACTCCCAGGCCACCTGAATTGCTAGTACCAATTCCAACTCCCAGGCCACCTCAATTGCCAGTACCAAATCCAACTTCCAGGCCACCCCAATTGCCAGTACCAAATACAACTCCCAGGCCACTCCAATTGCCAGTACCAAATCCAACTCCCAGGCCACCCCAATTGCCAGTACCAAATCCAACTACCAGGCCACCCCAATTGCCAGTACCAAATCCAACTTCCAGGCCACTCCAATTGCCAGTACCAAAATCCAACTCCCAGGCCACCCCAATTACCAGTTCCACATTCCGCCCCTATCTGGGTAGTTTCCATGTCAGGGCACTACATCGATATATCCAAGTATCTGCACAACGCCATCACCAGCAACGCCGTCACACTAGTTCTTGACCACTTCTACGCAGCAATACCACTCACGCCACTCCATTTGGAGATACAGGCTGACCAGCCAAATCCGTCTGTCAACAATCCACATGCGATTTGGCATTGTCGTCAGTGAGAGCCATCAATGTGAACATCTCCATGCCAACACCTCCATCTGGAGGAGAGTTGTTTAGGGAGGCCCATAACTGTCTTCAAACGACCACACCCCGGATGCAAAATTGCTTTTCTTTTGTTTTTGTTTTCTATATCTTCAGACCACTTTCTCAGATACGATGGCGCTCAACTAGCGCCATGCCCCTCAGTTCTGAATGTGTACGAGGTATGTTCAACAGGGGCCATTGGGACTTACAGTACATTTGCTACCAACACGGAGTGAGTGAGTGAGTTAAAATCTTAAGTCACATCGGCTTTATTTCAGCCATATCGTGACTAGGAAAGTTGTGAATTTCACAGTTATAATTGTAAAACTAGTATGAAAATCTAAAACATCTTAACTATGGAAGACAATGCAATATAAAAAAACAGGCTATAGATTACCAACAACTAAAGGTAGATCACTATACTAGGGTGAGTGAGTGAGTGAGTTAAAAGTTAACGCCACATCGGCAATATTGCTGCAATATCGTGACGAGAACAGTTGATATCAATATGAAAATCAATAAATGTATAACGTAAAAACCTGTCGACGAAGGACAGTAAAACAACTAGAATATCGCAGATATACATGTAAAACTAGGGCGGTGGGGTAGCCTAGTGGT